CAGCATACAGGCTCTTGTTCATCGATGGCAAAAGTGCATAATGAATGGTGGTGATTATGTGGAAAAATAGCTGTAAGTAGCTGAAATCTTGCTCTATTTAACTGCGTTATTATGATTTCTGTATCTGTTGTAGTTTTCTTTAAAAAAAATAGGAGGCATTATATACGGAATGCCCTTAGTAGTATTTATATTATAATGTTTAACTGGATCTTGACTTCAGTTTTAGTTCACTACTATTACACTTGCATGCTGCTGCACTATTCTTTTCTTGCATTTGCTGACTTGGGTCTGACAGTATGGAATTATAACTTCTGAGACTATACTTCCACTGCCTCTTCTTGCCTTGCAATGAAGATTTTCTTAATAAAAATATCCTGTTGCTGTAGGTTGGTTCTCATCCTGGCAGGGGAGATGCCCCGGGTACTCTCAGATGTTCCTTTACTGTCATTTGTAACATGCGCATTCCATCTTAGTGAGTGGCTCTTATATTTCATATTCATGAGGTTCTGGGCCGAGTGTCAGTTCACAGACTAGATACTGTGTTTAAGGTTTTCAAGATTTTACTTAGTTCCCATAGGTATAAGAGCTAGGATATCTCATTTGATATAATGATGGACTACAGGGTGGATGGTTGAGGAGCTGGAAAATTGGAGCTATACCACCAGTTTTCATACATCTTCATGGCCGGATGCCTAATTAATTTTGCACAGGAACAACTTTACCTTTACCTGTAAGCGTATGTTTTGTTTGTACCTTAACCTTATGGCATGTTCAAGCAGGCCGTGGTAGCAGTAAAGCTCCAGACTTATGTTCTGGAGGTTTTCATTTCAAATCTCAGCTGGGGTACCAACTATCCTGACTGAAACGTTTCATGGTTTTTCTCAGTACCTTCAGGCAAAATGCAGGACGGTACCTTCATTAGGTCATGACTATTTTGATTGGAATCCTCTCCCATTTGCTATGCACCAGTCTTCATACAATTTGATGCCCTACGTTGTGAAATACTGACAGCATTATGAAATAAACCAAAATCCTGTGGCATATTGCTTGATTTAGTTTCCTTGGAGCACTGTACTTCCGATTATCCATGCTAATTGAAGCAAAAATGCGTGAATAATGAAAAAACTGTATAATCCATGGGTTTAGTGTAATCAGGGGACCATGTGATGGTGAAATACATAAATTTAGAAATGTACTCATAGTGTTCACCTTGTTCAAATTTCATGAAAATCCATCAAACAGTTCTTACGTTGCTTTGTATATATAAATGGATGGACAGGCATACTCAGCAAACATAACAGTTGTTCCACAGTGTTGCAGACACGTCCTAGAAGAGTCACAGATAAGTTGCAAGCCATATAATCCATTCAAAGATAATTGGGAATAGATTTTATCTGTAAGAATTAGTTCATAGACTTCAAAGTAAATGCCACAGTTTTGTTATAAAACGTTTGCATGTGTGTATTAATTCTGCTGTTCTATAATTATCTGAATCTATCTGGTGATGTTTTGTCATCAATGTAGCCAGTGCCACCCTAACATTTGAATATCTGGCTGTTGTAAAAGCATACCAGGGGTTAAAATATACCGCAGCCACTTCTTTCTGTACCCTTCCCAATACAGTGTTCATGGCATTCAATGCTATATGGCCTATGTAGTTGAGAAATTGTCATTAAACGAATATGCTTTAATAAAACAATTAAAAATTGACTGTCCTCCACCACCACTGATTGAATTACTATGATCATTTCCGTGCTCTGGTTATCTTTCTTGTTATAGCATTAACTCTTACCATTACAGAATGCACCTTCATCATTCTAGAAAAGTCTGCATTTGAGAACACAGGAGATGAAATTGGTAAGTTATATCTTACCATATGTATCACAGATTTGTTCATACTGTCACGCATATGGAGTGACTATAGATGGTGTTTGGATTGGTAATTAAAGTTACTGTACACTTTTAACATACAACTCATGACTACACTTTACAAATCATTGTCTCACACACAGACTGGTGTTCTCAGTAGTGTTAGAGTCTCCAATAGCTGTTGCTTGGTAGCGGCTTCCAATGGCGGATATTCTGCTTCCTCTGGGTTCCCAAACTGACCCTGACCTCAGCTACCAGGTTCTCACAGAAACAGCTCACAAGGACGGAACCACAGCAGTACTCTAACTCACTCACTCATTCACAACAAACTCCTCGCTCATCCTGCTTATAACATCTTGGCACGGACCACAGAAAAAACTGCTCCTCTGTTGCATTGCCCCTGTTGCCATGGAATTGTTGTGTTTGTGTCTGTTAGCAGAAATCTTTGTGATACTCGAATAGATTATAAACCGTTCATTTTGTAACGCTAGTTTGTTTTCATTTTACATTGCTTATTTACTTTCTCAGTGACCTATTTTCTTGATGATAATCAATACGACAAAACATTTAGCTTAGCGAGATGTTCAGGTGCTGCAAGGACGGACCTTTTTATATACTAGAGTCATGAGCTCAAGGCAAGATGTCCTTTTCTTTTGTAACTTGGGTAACTCGTGTTGAGCTGAAGTCAGTTGTTTGCTAGGTCTTGCAGCGCTTTCTGTGGTGTAGGAACTGAACTACTACATACTTCACAGTGAGGGTTCAAAGACAGTCTGAATGGTCTGAATTATGATGCTGTCTTCTTTCAAAATTACAACGTATGGAGGCCAACAGCGAGCTAATTTGAATATGCAATGAACCCTTCAGGCAAAACTATTGGGAGAAATTCAAACTGGCAATGACATTCTTACATACGTGGATATACTTGAAAGGATTCTGACGACAGTGTATGCTATACAAAACTATTAAGCTTATTTTGGACTCTCTCCATCGTCTGGTATATATTAGACAAAAACCACAACGTTTCGGAGACTGGATCTGTCTCCTTCTTCAGGTGGATGGGGCATGATAAAACTACTCAGTTGGACCCGTTAGAAAGAGCTACTCTCAATCAGTCAATTCGTCCAGTAATTGAGACTAGCTCTTTCTAACAGGCCCAACTGAGTAGTTTTATCATGCCCCATCCACCTGAAGACGGAGACAGATCCAGTCTCCGAAACGTTGTGGTTTTTGTCTGATATATACCAGATGATGGATAGAGTCCAAAATAAGCCTAATAGTTCTGTACAGCATATGTGGAGCTTCAAACGTGATACTGGAATCGGTCGGGTTTTACCGATTCATTACAACAAAAACGAATCACATGCCTGATAGCAGTCTCAAGCCAGGATAACTCCGTCGGTATAGCGACAGGCTGGACGGCTCAATTTCGATTCCCGGGAGGGAAAGAGAATGTTTTCTTCTCCACAGCGTCCAGACCGCTTCTGGAGCCCACTCAGCCTCCTACACAATGAGTACCAGATGCTACTTTCTCGGGGGGAAAGCGGTCGGGGTGTGAAGCTAACCTCTCGCTTCCATCTACTGCCGAGGTTAATAAAAGCCATACCTCCGCTTCTCCATACGTTTTCGTGGTGTCGTGCTTAATTAAACGACGGGGAAAACTTAAAGACTTTAAATAATTTTGTACCATATAGACCAGTTGCTAGGCAACAGCTTCGCAAATACGCAACAGTACTGGAGCAGTTGCTAGGCAGCATCCTATGTGCAACCATGGAGATACAGCTGGAAGCGGTGTTTCCTATGCTGTCCGCTCCGATGCTATATCACTCGACCGACCGAAGCAGGGTTGAATAGAAAAGACAGACCCGTCCTCTCGTCAGAGAAGGCGCTCCACAGAAACAAGACCGTAACTGTCAAACGGTAATAATTAATATCTGGTCATGAGCCCCAAATGGGGCTCGACACCAGGACTTACTGACTGACTGACCGTCAGTCGCAATGTGACTTTGACTTTGGGGTTGAATACCTCCACTGTAGACATGCGAGCAGTAGTAGGCGACGAAAGAAGAAGTGTCGAATCTGAGACAGTAAAATAAGGTTTCGAGTTCCCCGGGACTCGGATCCGAGAATGACTGCGCTGGCGAGGCCCAACAGCAATTGTAAACGACAGATCCGTCTTCCCGTCAGAGAGTGCGACCCAAATTAAAAAACCCGCCAATTACCTGACAGTAATAAAAATATGGTCGTAATCCCCAGATATTGCTTCATTGCAAGATAGACTGGCCGACTGACTGTCTGTCGTAGCATAAGACTCACACTCAGACTCACTTACAGCAGTAGAGTGAGTGCAGTGGACTAAGTTGGTAGATGAGTGGGTGAGTTACTTAGAGGAATACTGCGTTTCGGTCGTTGTCAGCTGTTGCTGTTAGAAGCTGCTAGCTGAGGTGCGAGAGCAGTTCGGGAACTCACAGTATGGGGAACGTCCGCCATTGTGCGCCGTTACCAGACAACGACCGGTGATGATACAGCAGAATGAAAAGACTTAGTGCGTCCTGTAGTGAATTGCAGAGTATGCGAATTAGCGATAACGCTAAAGTTAATTAAAGTTACGATCTGTATGTAAGTGTTCAATAAATGCAGTCACCAATCCAACTCCCGTCTGTAGTCACTCATACATGTGACAGTATTTTCTATCACCACGCAGAAGTTAAGCCCGAAGAAAAGAAAGATGCATACAGAATACCAATAAAAAAGTAAAACTGTGCAAGTGAATAGTCAAGCACCAGGCCACGAAGGTGTACAGGGGAGTGCAGGTATAGCTCCACTTTCCTTAACCTTGAGACTAGATGGAGGTGAGCAGCCCGTTTCACGCCCCGGTCGCTCCATAAAGATACACATTAAAAGTATTTTCATATACTAAACGCAGTCTTAAACGGCTTAAATGCAAGGTAAAGGTAAAGCTATCCCTGTAACAGGCTGTGAAGGACCATAGGGTTGTGAGACGTCGAGGCTCCCACATTTTCTCTAGACAGTCAGCTCAGAGATGGCGGTGAGGTTGTCATCCTTACGCGCCGGCCGCCCTTTACCTCCCAGGTAGATTCGCAAGTCTGTAAGAAAAGTTTCTGACTGCCCCCCTCTATGGAGTCGGGCACAACTCCAGGCGCGATCCAATCACATGAATCCAAATGTGCGCATGCCCGCAACGAGGCAAACTGTTAGATCATAACGCTGCAACAGACGAAATCGACTGTGTAGTGTCTAAGCTTATCTACGTGTTGTACGAGCTACTCAGCAAGCATTTCCGGTCTGGTAAACGTAAAGTTTTTTTTTATTATTATTATTGCTAGTGGGGTGGGACTGAGTCCCTTGCACTGCGGCCACTTCTGGCCTGTTGTACCAAAAAGGTAAGGTTAAGGTAAAGTTGTCGCAGTGCTTAACTAATTAAGCACTACGCCATGAAGGCGTATGGGGGAGAGGATATATAGATCCACATTTTCTTGACCTCGGCACTAGCTGGAAGGGGCACTATGCTACAACCCGAAATGTTGCGGGATCGATACCCGATGAGGTCACTGGATTTTTTCAATTAACCTAATCATTCCAGCCGCACTATGGCCCTGGGGTCGACACAGCCTCTAAAAGAAATGAGTACCAGGAATTTCCTGGGGGGTAAAGAGCGGCCGGCGGGTAAGGCTGACAACCTCGCCGCCATTTGTGAGCCGATTGTCTAGAAACTGTGGGAGTCTCGACGTCCTACAATCCTATGGGCCTCCATGGCCTTCTACAGGGACAGCTTTACCTTTACAATTTCAGGTCAGAGTAAAAAAATTCATACGCGTGTAAGGTGCACCCGGGAATCCTGTTAATGCAAGGGCGCAATGAAGTTCCCGGGAGAAGGGGAAGGACGCGTAGGTCTGTCCTAGGGCCCTACAGAAGCACCTACATATGGGGAGCACACGGCTACATTCCTCTCCTGCAGCTGAATAAATCTGCAGTTACTCAAGGAGAGGTCAACTTGAAGATCCCTCTTCTGCAATACTGTCCCATGTCTTAGTGACTAAAGGCGGGGTTCGGATTGGATGATTGAATTTGTTGACATCTTACACATTCATAACTCGGGGCTACAGGCAATACAGCGCTACCGCTGATCTTCACACTTGGCAGTTCTCCGTTACACACACACAGACACACACACACACACATTCTCTCTCTCTCTCTAGGGTTTCCAGTCTTCACTAGTCGTATCCTAGCAACGGATAACAGTCTCAGTGTAACTTGAAATCACATATGAAGTCTTCTTTTCACAGCATAATTCCTTTCTTGAAGCTCCACTCAATTCAATTCCTCTGCTCCCAAGCTCATATCCTGGCAAGCTGGCGTCTCGAAGCTCGAATCAATTCTTCTCAAAGTCATTGTCACATTGAGACTGACGGGCAGTCAGTCAGTAAAGATGGGGCTCATGACCATATATACATTATTACGGTTTGACAGTTACGGTCTTGTTTCTGTGGTGCGCCCTCTCTGACGAGAGGACGGATCTGTCTTTTGTATATGCTGCTGGGCCTTGCCAGCGCAGTCTTTCTCGGTCCGAGTCCCTTGGGACTCGCGACCATATTTTACTGTCTCAGATTTGATAATTCCCTTTTCGTCGCCTCCTACGACTCGCCGGGTCACGGTGGAGGTATTCGACCCCGCAACCACACGGGTTTCAATTCTTCTCAGCTGAACTCTTTTTTCATAACCACTTTGAACGGACCGCGCGGAAAACGTAGCCTTTCTATTGCTGGAAAGGCGTGTTTGGAGCTCCGCTGCATAGCAACGGAAGTTACTCGATTGTTGTTTGACTATTCGTTGCGGCAGGTATGTGTTTCCCGAGTCGTTGCCAAGCAATGAACATCTATTCTGACTTAGGTATTCCTACTTTCGGGCGCCATGTCACAATATAATGATGTCTATCCCGGTGAAAGTCGATTGACCTTTCGGAGAAATATTTCGACTCAAATTTCAGAGTCGATGTGTAAGCTATGTTACGAATCCAACATGAAGCACGAACTTTGGAAAAGGAGCTAACATGTTCCTTCGAAACGCCTGTAAACTTTCACATGGCCTTACATTCCATTAGACAGAATACTTCACAGTCACCGCGATAACCTCAAATCCAGCAAAGCCATTTACCGGCCGACAGCTTGCAGGAAATTTCCACATGTGGAAACCCAGATTTCTCATCGTACGTAATGTTCTAATGAACATAAATCATCATTAAATGTGATGGATGATTCGAAATCTCAAGCCTCGTAAAGTGACTGCACTAGACTGCATGTAAAACATCACTTTAAAGATCCCCCCCCAGAATCGGTCCTTCAGTCTCTAGCCACAACTTATGGACTCTTGTATAACACTCAACCACGAGGTCTGCTCGTTGCAAACATGCCAAAATTATCAGGCTTCTGAAACCAAATAAGTGTAACGCTTCCTACGTAACTACATGGCAATTAGAGATAAAGCTACCCCTGTATGAGGCCGCGGAAGCCCATAGTCGAGGCTCCCACATTTTCTAGACAACCGGCATTTTACGACTGGCGGTTTACCGCCAATCGGTTAGTCTTGGCGCCAACCCCTTGAGACTCACAACCAGCAAATGTTCTTTTTTTCAATTAAACCCTTGCGATAAAATAGTACTTATGTAACATCCTATCTGATGAGAGGATGGGTCTGTCGTTTACAATCGCTGCTGGGCTTCGCCAGCGCATTCTCGGGTCCGAATCCCGCGGGACTCATGACCACATTGTATTGTCTCGGATTCGAGACTCCCCCAACCTGGAGTGCCAGGTACACGCATTTATATCGCCCAGGAAAAGGGTGGCCCGGCTATCTGGGTCGCCCCAATTGTCTTCAGCCCTGAGTAGAACCCCAGTACAGGAATTAAAATGATACCTAAGTGAACATAAAAGTATATGAGTTACACCAACGAGTACCTAATGAACATATACATTTATTGCAGACTCTGCAGATCGTGTATATTCAAAGTCAAAGTCACATTGAGACTGATGACCAAATATTTATTACTGTTTGACCGTTACGGTCTTGTTTTGTGGGGCGCCCTCTCTGACGACTACGATTGTGTTTAAAGGTCAAATTGCGACTGACGGTCATTCAGTCAGTAAGTCTTGGTGTCGAGCCCCATTTGGTGCTCATGACCAGATATTAATTATTACCGTTTGACAGTTACGGTCTTGTTTCTATGGGGCGCCTTCTCTGACGAGAGGACGGGTCTGTCTTTTATATATGCTGCTGGTCCTTGCCAGAGCAGTCTTACTCGGGTCCGAGTCCCTTGGGACTCGCGACTTTATTTTACTGTCTCAGAATTGAGACTTCCCTTTCGTTGCCTCCTACGACTCGCAGGTTCACGGTGGAGGTATTCGATCCCGCCTCCACACGAGAACACTCCTTACTCCAAGTCCAAGTCACATTGCGACTGACGGTCCGTCAGACTGTCTGTCTTGGTGTCGGGCCCCAGCTGGGGCTCATGACCAGATTTTTTTTTCTCTAGTTTGAAAGTTACTGTCCTGTCCGTTTGGGGCGCCCTCTCTGACGAGAGGTCGGGTCTGTCATTTGTCAGTCATAGTCTGTGTTAGTAAGTCCATTGTCAGTATTTACATTGTGTTTAATAAATGTGTGAATAAAGTTAACTCATTTGCACGGACCGAGTAGAAAACACCGTTTCCAACAGTAACTCTATTGTTGTGTACGTATTCGTTGCGGCGGGAACGTGTTTACCGACCCGTTGCCTAGAACCGGGTTTAATAACGCCTTTGTTTATCCGCCTATTGCAGAGCAACGGCTAGACACGTTACATTATGTTAAATGAAATTCTTTACTCATTCAAGTGCTGAGCTGAACAGCCAGTGGCCAATCGCAGAGTCAGCACGAATACAAAAAACAGCACTATGACAAACATAACTGAATCAGTTAAGGTCGCTTACATTTAGACGTAAGTTTTTGAAAATACTACACACTGATACTGCTTAGCAGCAGGAGTACATCATCCAGCGGACGGCAGTGTCTGGCGGGTCCTGAAGCCGACCACTCACCTCCATCCAGTGCCGAAGTGAAGAATGCTGGAACTATGCCTCCAGTCCCCCATAAGTTTTCACCACAGAGACAAGTGTACCTGTTACCTTGGCTTTCTTACTTTGCTCTGAAAATGTTCCATTGGGCTGCAGACTCAGTCCGTGAGATACGGGGCACATGAACAAGCAGGAATTCCCGTACTCACTCGGGCTGTTTCACTTTGCAGTGGTAAGCAATAAATAATTTAAAAAGAAAAGTACATTTAGATTTATATGCAAAAAAAAAATTAAAGGCAAATTTGTCCCTGTGCTTTACAGATAACGACATTAAAATTATAAGGCAGAGGAGGTATAACTCCATACATTTCATCAGTAGATGGAGATGAGTGGTCAACGTCATGACCCGGCAGCAGAACCTCCGGGGAAAAGAGTCCATGATCGTACTGGATAGGAAAGTTCGTGGGCCCCAGAGCCGGTCTGGACACTTTGGAGAAGAGAGAGAGAGAGAAAAGTATTGTCTCTGTCTGCACTCAAACCCCGGTCGTCAGGCCCACTGAGAGAGTCAATGCAGGTCCCCAGTTGACATTTGAGACACGGAGCGTTCAACTGAGAGAGAAACTCTAGCTGCAGGGCTATCTGACTAGAACACACGAAGCACATCAGAAAATTACTGGATGCCCGTCCATAAAGCACTTTCATAGCCGGCAGTTCGTAGTTCCTGTTCCCATCCCGCAGTGGCTGTACCAAGCTGTGAGCTCCGGTTTGTGGAGTGTTACGAGACCTTTCATTTCTCTGCGGCGTCCAGACCGGCTCTGGGGCCCACCCAGTCTGCTATCCAAAGAACACGGTAGAATCTTTACCCGGAGGCAAAGCGGCCGGGACGTGAAACTGACCACTCACCTCCATCTAGTGCCGAGGTCAAGCATGGCGGAGGTATACCTCCACGTATCTTAATTGCGTGATGCTTCATTAATTAAGCACAGGGACAATTTTAGTTTTACTCAGTCTCTAAAAGAAATGAGTACCAGGAATCTTCCTGGGGCTAAAGGGCGGCCGACGTTCTTTTTATTTTAAAGAAGAAATATATTTTCATCAGTTTTCTGTTTTCGGTGTTTCTCTTCGTCTGATGCCTACCCTTTGACCTGTCCA